TCCGCCCACCAACCACCCGCCCTTAGGGGGTGACTTTGACTTATTCATTTGAGACCAGGATCTATGAGCGAGAGTTAGCAAGAAAATGTAATATAACTGCAGCGCATTCTGTTGACTAAAACCCCATGGAAAGCCACGAAGTGTAGTTAAAATATAGCATCTTACTGGGCTGGGCAAACAGCTCATCTGAAGAATTCATTTTATAAGGGTAGTGCAGGAAGTATTGAGGATGGAAGCGTGGCACCCCACCCTCAACCACCCTTCATAATCACGCAGAAAGTTAATCACTTGATACCAAGCTAACTGTGTGAGATTTAAGAAAGTATGAAATAAACCTGCAGCGCCATCTGTTGAATATTAAAACATCCGTTCACCAGATGGCGCTGCAGGTTTAATTCATATTTCCTTAACTCTCGCAGATTTAGCTTGGTCTCAAGTTATTAACTTTCTGCGTGACCCCAAGGGCGGTCGTGGGTACTGTCCCACGCTTCGCTATCCGTGGAGTAATTTTCAACAGATGGCGCTTTTTATTATTTCATGTGAGTATGAACGATATGGAAGTGGTCTCATGTTTCGCCATCTGTGGAAGAATTTTCAACAGATGGCGCTACTTTTTATTTCATATGAATACTACGGAAGCGTGGGACTCCACCCTCACCCGCTCTTGGCCTCACGAAGAAAGGTAATAACTTGAGATCAAGCTAAAGCAGCGAGAGATAACAAGGATATATTTAAAATCGTTGCGCCATCTGTTGAACATTACTTCACAAGTGATTAACTTTCTTCAGAGGAGCGGTTTGTACTAGCCAATAAGATACTAAGATGCTTCATTTTAACTACAATTTGTTCTTTCCATGAGGTTTAAGTCCACAAATGGCGCTGCAGATATATTATATTTTCTTGTTAACTGTCGCTGAATTAGCTTTATCTCAAGTTACTTTCTGCATGAACCCCAAGAGCGGTCGTGGGTACGGTGTCATGCTTCGCCGTCTGTGGAGTAATGTTCAACAGTTGGCGCTACTTGTTTTATTTCATATGAATATGAATACTATGGAAGTGGAGTCCCACGCTTCCGTAGTATTCATATCCATATGCAACAAAAAGTAGCGCCATCTCCACGGATAGCGAAACGTGGGACCGTACCCTCGACCGCCCTTGGGGTCACGCAGAAAGTTAATAACTTGAGACCAAGCTAAAACTGCGAGAGTTAAGAAAATATGAATTAAACCTGCAGCGCCATCTGGTGAACGGATGTT